AAAAAAAAAAAAAGAACAACACAAAAAAATACAAAAATACACACCCCAAAAAAAACCCACACACCCAAAACCCCAACTTTGATTATTTCCAGATAATTTCAGTAAAAGAGCAAGACCTAGGCTGGAATGCCCTGTGCACACTGTAGATAATGCTACATTCTCCATGACAATGACTTCAATTTGTAGCCTGCAAGTCCATGAGTAGTGATTCTATAGTACTGAATTTTGCTGGTGGCATCCAGCTTCTCCTGCCAACATTTTTCTGCCTTAAATTTCTTTTTCATTCATTCAAGCTTGGTTATTTCTCTCCTCTTCCTGGTTGAAGAATGAAGCTGTTTCCTTACACTACTTCATCCGTCTTCTCACTCACCAGTAGGCTTCTTCCAGGAAGAGGTTTGTGATAAGAAATCAATTTAGATTCCATCCATAGAAGAGCACAGAAACTTCAGAGCGAATCTGGGACACTGACTTTAACTCTATTTATAGACACTGAAGTCAGACTGAACACAAGGTCAACTTCTCTTTCAGGCTGCAATGAACCTCTCAAATCTGCTGAGCCTAAGGAAGTTGCAGGAACACTAGAAAAAGAAGGATGCTGTCCATAATTCATAGTCCTGGTGGCTTCTTCCAAATAATTTGCCATACGCAAATGCGTGGGGTTTTTTTATTTGCAAGGACAACAGGAGTTGTATTACCAGCCAAAGCAGGTAATGCAGACAAATCCTTATAGGTCACAGTGAAAATGAAATCTGATATGTACTGCTGAAGACTGGAAAGACACAGCTTCTTTCCTGAAGTCCTCACTCATGCACAGCATTCAGTGTCGTCAAGAAGATATCCATTCACAAACAGTGCAATGTCAAGGTAAACAAATATCCCAAGTCTTCTTGTTTACTCTATACCAGTGTAAAAAACATCTAAATGGTCAGAAATTGCATTGACACCTATATTAAAACTCTTCCACATTAACAAAGCGGTGGCGTCAGGGCCATACAGCAAGTTAGAATCAGATCATTCATCTGTAATAATATCAGTAAGACAAGGAGTATGTTTCCAGTTCTTTCCTTACGTGTGTTTTTGCATCAGTGCCACAGACACGTCTGAATGACTGGAGAAGACATGTACAAAATATATGGAGCCAGTTTAGTGCTTTACAATGCAATGTAACTGTCCTGAAGAAGGGATTACACCTGTTTCACAACCTTCAGATCTTTTCTCTATCCTGAAGGCTTAAGAAGCCGAAGCTTCTGCTTCCTTGAAACTCCTTCAGAGTCCTGGACCAGGCTGCCCAGAGGGGCTGTGGAGTCTCATTCTCTGGCGATATTCAACCCCGCCTGGACGCGGTCCTGTGCAGCCTGCTCGGGGTGACCCTGCTTCGCCAGGGGAGTTGGACTGGGTGATCCCCAGAGGTCCCTTCCAACCCCTGCCATTCTGTGATTCTGTGAAAAACTAACAAACCACGTTTCATGTCAAAGTTTAAAAAAGCACATTCCTATCATAAAGTATCTATAACTAAAGCTACATATAATGAAGAGCACTATTTAACACAGAGCTCACTTAGTAGCGTTGGCAGTTCAAACACGCTGCAAACAATACATCTACATTTTGAGTAGTATCATTGTGCTTGGTTTCCTAAGGTAAGAGACACCATGTTTTCCTGTGTTTCTTTTAGCTATATTGAGACACAGGCTAGTGAAAACTAAAAGGTTCATGGAGTTTGTTAAACTTTTTTTGGAAACCTAAGATATAAATTTATCATTGACATAAGAGGTAGCTTAAAATTTATAACTTCGTAGTTTTAAGTCTTCCGCTGTGAGCTAGTATGACTTTTACTTCCACTCCAGTCCGGCAGGGTAGGGACTGAAAGACAGCTAACCACTAGTCTGACATACCATAGAACCAACCACTTCCGTCAGTAGTCACAAATATCACTGCTGTCCTCTTTCTACCAGTGGGAAAACCAAGGTCTGAGCTGAGCTGATCTTGCCTAAGGTTACAGAGCAGAGCGTAGAAGAGAATCCCACTCCCTGCCGGCAGACTTTTGGATTTCCAATACTTTTTGATTGCCACATAGTAGTGAAGAAACTAGGGGCCACTTTCATAGACCTTTCAACTGCTGTTGATGCGCGTGGGCCGCACATGGCCAGTGGAAGTGTACTGGGTCAAGCAGCATATTTCAAAAGTTTCCAATCTCATGGTTCCCATCCACATGTTCAAAAGACACCAAGGCTGTAATTCTCTAATTAGTTCCTACCAAAAACAGCATGTCCATCCAAAATACATTTATTTTGTTATTTAATCTTTCTTTGAAGTTGTTACCTGAAATTTCCAACCATATGATCCTGTTTAAGTTTTTACCAATAGTGTCTAATGCAGCAAATGGTCAAATTCCTGCATTTTCTTGATTTGACACAGGCTAAATGTTACCCCAGTCAAAGCATTTAAATTGGTGTTCACATTCAGAGAGACAGAGCTGGGCTACTACTGAGCCTCCTTTCTTCATATTTATTCTGACATCTGCAGCCACCAAGAAGCCTGGATTACAGCAGACCATAATACTCTATGAACCATGGTTATAATTAGGCGTCACATCCATTGTAATCCTATGGACGTCATCCTGCGTTACCAGCATCTGTTGACAGATCTCATACCAGGCATATCACTGAAATGGCAAGTCTGGAGAGGGCAGCCCACAATAGAAACAATGGCATTTATTTTTGGTTTGTTCCAAGACTGTCTAATAGAAGATATATGCTGCCAACTGCCAGGGCTCCACTGAGATCACTTCTCAATATTATATTATAAGTTTGAACAAAGATCTGTGCCCATATATCTGCAATCTTCTCCTAATAAATAAGGAAATAAAGAAAGCATTTTCTGCAACTGTCTCAGCACCAATTAGAAAATGACAGAAGCCTTGAAATTTTACAAATTTTACCGGGTCCTTTATCATGCAAGTACTTGTTTTTCATGTAAGAATAAACTCAGACTCCTTTCCAAGACAAGCAATGAGGATCCCCTCTCCCAGATTTTATTTAAACATGCTACCAACTTTAATATTAAAACTAAGCCCTAGGAACTGGCAACATAAAGTAATGAAGCCACAAACTCTCGACTCTATGGTAAAGCAGTCTGCTTTAATTCATCAGTGTGGAAACCTGACTTCCTACTGAAGCGCTGTCTGCTTGGAGGAATGGAAACAAAAAATTTGCTATGGGGTCTTTAACTACTCTCCACTTTTCTGCAACAGTCAGAGATACACTGTAAACATAAGAAGGCCTACAGAATCAAATTTCTCTTTATTTTTTACCATTTATCTGCATTGTAGGAAAACTGCATTAGAGTGCTGACTGTCTAGCAACCTGTCCACTGTTCCTTTAGGTTGAAAACAGCATTCTCTGAAATGCTGGACAATTGAATCCTATTCAGGTGTAACTACGACCTGTTATGGCTGAGCAGTTTCAAATCACGAACGCACTTAAGCACTAAGCTCATTTCCACTCTCATTATAAAACATAAAAGAGTAGTTCACTATCTAAAGAGTGTCAAAATAAAACACGTCAGTGCTGGCGAGTACAGCTTAATATTTGGTTAGGAGTTGCAGCAGCTGATACATCAAGAAAAGTGAACTTCAACCTAGCCCAGAACTTCCCCCGCTACACTCGTACAGCGGGATCCGAACAGGTGTGAATGCAGGAAAATGAACAAAACCAGCTAAAACTCACAGAAGGAGGAAGGCTACAAGTAAAAACTGAGAGGAAAATATTGGCTCTACTGATTTGAATGGAAAAGCAAACCCATAGCCCCCAACGATTCTAACAGCTCTTGGTTTTCTAGGGTAGCTTTTATAGAAGCTGTGGCTGTAACAGTGGGCCAGCCTCTGTCATCAGATATTAGCTGGAAATTTCTATTTAAGTTTTTGAGGCAAGCTGCTCACCTATACCGAAAGCATATTCAAACTTTTTGTCTACAGCACTGCTTCTCTCTCCTCCCCTTTTTTTCATTCGTTTAACAAGCAGATAACCTTTTAATCCCAGATCTGTCAGCAGTGACTTCAGCATCACTTCTTAAATTAGGAAGTAACAAAGATTTTACAACATTTCATCTCTCTTTTCCCTATACTGCTTAAAACTCAAGTGTTCTGAAATTAGATACTGCAAATATTACTAAAGTACCAGACCACTGACAAGACTGCTGATGGGATTATAATCTCTGCCACTGTTCAGAAAAAGAGCGTGGGCCGTACTTGCTGGTGTAATAGCTTTCTTACACCTAGAAGGCAAGAAGCATTTCCCCTGCAACGGTACATTCCGAGGAATTTACAGACCCATTTTTTCCCGGACAGTCAATTGGTACGTGGGAACCTAATCATGAACCACAGTTTTCCAAATCTAGCCCAGATAACACTTCCAGGCAACCTTTGAGATCATTCTGATCTTGTCAGATCATTCAGTCAGAATGAAGAGTAAATTCTAATCAGAGCTGACCCGCAGGATCACAATTTCAAAAGCAATTTCTCGGTCCCCTCTCAGAAAGACTGCAAACTTTTTTTGCATACCAATTTTGAAACATTTCATTCATCTCGCTGTTTATCATTGCAATTTACTGGTTTTGAAAAGCAATCAGGCACACACATCAATTCAGCCTACTTTCCAACAGGAAGACCCAGGAAGTGAAGTTAAAAATTACTGAAATACTAATACATAAATCTAGAGGTACTGACAGAGTATTTCCAGTGCAATATAAAAAACCCAACTCCCATAGTGTCATCTTACACAGGTTTCACTTAAGAATCCAAAAAGTGAACGCTTTATCCTTAAAATATGGCATAGCTAACATATATTATATACATGCTTTATATGATGTAAAATACATTCTCTTACAAAATTCCAACCCCTCACTGCATAGCCCCGGCAATTCCAGGTGCAGCATGGCAGTAGGAGCGGACGTCACTCCCCACAGCAGCACCGATACAGACACACATCACTTTATTTCCAGACCTTCCTCTGCTGTTTCTCCCATGCTGGGTCCAGGAGCAGGTCCCTGTCCCATTCTTCTTCTTGGGTCATGTACTCATCTTCTTCGTAGTTGTAGGTGTACTGCATGTTTGTTTCTATCTGGTTCATGCTGTTCATGCTACCCGGGGATCAGCTTCAGCTGCTGTGCCTTCTACTATGTTTGAATATATGTGTAATTTTTTAAGCTTAGTTTACTTGCTGATGGGTTGTAGGTAGCAGTGTCTTTCTTTCTTTCTTTCTTTTTTCCTTTTTCCAAGGTGACAGGGAGCGAATATGGACGAGTCTTGCTGAGCGCAGAGGCTGAAACTGCCGGGTAGGTTCTGACCTGCGTGCCCTTCGCGCCCTCCCTGTCTCCCTGCCCCTCTCTCGTTGCTGCTGACGCAGGTCCCAGCGGCT